CCACACTCTTGGGTGATGCTCTTGCTCTAGCAGTCCTGGTAAAAGATGGACCTGTAAATTAGCAAATAACTGAGATACCCAGATCTTATTCTATTTGCTATTTATGGAGCACTTAGACCCTGCAGCCTATCTACCCAAACCAGAATTAGAAATATGGAGGACATAGACACCGTGTCATTCATTCCTGGGTGTGAGCTACAGCAGTGAACAGCCCCCATGCTGTTCTCAGAAGGACACAAAAGCCAAGCCAGCTCTGTGCAGAGGCAGTCCTACTCTAAAGACTAAGGGTCTCGATGCTTTGTACATGATGCAAAAGTACCTACTTTGCTCCTGCGTTGGCGTTACCATTTCTTTTACTAACAACGACCAAAATTATATTGGCTTCACTTCCCAAAACATTGAGACCACTTTTCAAGAAGATTTCCGACAAGCTGATTCTGCAGCTCTTATTTTGGCAAGATGCCATTTCCAGTCTTAAATAATTCAAATGGGAAGAAGTCTAATTAAAGAAGAAAGAGCCAAATAAATGCTAGTTTATTTTGGCACTAAAAAAAAAAAAGAGATCAATGTCATAAGCCAAGCACATGTTACTGCTGTAAATGGTCTTCATTACAACTATAATCAAGACATTGGATGCCTGAGGTCTAAGCAAAGTGGCCTGAGTACTTCTGAACTCCAGCTGGCCAGAGGAGAACTTCTGCAACACAAGCAGCCTGCCAGGAAGACCAAGTTGGAAGCTGGCTTTCAGGTCTGAGCAGACTTCTGCTAGGTGTGTTTGCAAGCATGATCTGAGAACTAACACGCTTTCACAAGGGGGATTCAGCTCTGTGGAGAGAAACCCCATAAGGTTTGCACAGCTTCCTGTTAATTTATGTCCTGACATCAGTGGCGGCACTGAATAAAATGTTCTCAACCAAATATAAGCTTTATTCAAGAGACCTTTAGCCTTCTAGAATTCACAGAACTGAAACTAACTGAAGGAAATTGTCTTTTTAATACATAATTGTTTTTTATCCATATAATTCCATTTCAAGACTTGAAAAATTCAAAAAGGAAAAGTTAGATAAAAATAATGAGCAAAATAAATCCCAATACAGCTTTGTCATTAGATCCTGACTACCACTTGTATAGCCATCAAAGAGGGGAGGAAAAAAGGAATAAGGAGTCTTTTTTCCCTTTCCTTGACCCAATCCCTTTCCTTGAGCCAAAGAGCTTGGTTGAAATGACACAAATATCTGGACAGATATGATTCTTAATCTGAATTCTTTCTCCATATAATGTAAACTCACAGTTGATCATCAAAACATTTTGTCTGTGTTTTTTTTCATATAAAATTTACTCAAAGCTCTTTATGTGGTACAAAAAGATACACAGATAACACAATTTATTTGTAAGACATGCAGAACAATGACTTATTTTAGTAAAAGTTAAATTTCTAAATTTCCTTTGGCCCTGTCAAAGCAGCTTCTACTTCATATAAGTGGAAGATTTCTGCATTCAATTAAAAAAGGGTGTGCAATGGACATTTCAGGCCTCTGCTGCATTATCCATTGCAGAGTTGTACAAAAATCCAACACTGATAGATTTCTGACCGCTTAGAACAGTCACACTAGACAATATTTAGCACTAAATGAATTTATCTATCTGGCCTAGTAGATGACAATCTTTACTCAATATTTAGAACTACACTAAACAAATGTTTCCAATGAAACCAGATAACATGCCTAGCTATGCATATATCAGGCTATATCAACCTAATCTTGCAAACTTTTAAGTCAGATGAGAACTGGAAGTGGAAATCATGTCATATCTTGTTGGTTTGAACTCATAAACTTGAGGTAACATGGCCATTTTTGCTATGATCTCTTTAGAGTTGTAGATGTTCTCAAAGACATCCTTACTGGCCAAAATCTGAAAAAAGTTTTTATCATGTACAAACAGCTTGAGGACCACATCTAACTATGGTAATTTTAGGAACTAACAGTACCATCTGTACTTTAACTAACAGATCCATACTAGATAAAAATCATGTGCCCTATTTATCAGCATTTTATTAGTCTATGTCTTGCCAACAAGAAGACAGACAACAACAGCTTCTTAAACGGTAAAATCTTTAAGGCATGGATTGTACACGCTTCTGTGCAGTTCTACAGACTATGGACAGGGTCTAAGTCCTGAGGGAGTCTATGGCCACAAATATAAACTTAAAAAAAAAAAAAAGAACTGTCCACAGGGAATCTACCCTATAAGAATGAGACTGTGCTTCCAACTCAAGAAATATCTGTCTTCCCTCAGGAGAACAGTTAGAATGATTGAAAGAAAAGGAGAAATAGGGAGAAATCTAGTCTCATCCAGTTTGCAATCATACTCTAGTGTCTGGGCTGAAGAAGCAGGTTGCTCCAGGATGCCCCATGCAGAAGCTATGGGAGAAGTTCATTGCCCAAATTTTCTTTTTCAGCACCAGCAGCATTCAAATCTGAGGCTATAGAGAGCCTTAATCCAGGGAATCACCAGTGCTAAATGGATAGGTATCTCAGGTGACACGGAAGCTTGGGAGAGCAGTGAAACAGGGAGGGACAGAAAAAGGAAGCCCTTTAAAAACAAAAACAATCTCAAACTAAAAAAGTGATCAGAGTAGGAAAAAGGATGAATGTAAAACGGATGAAAAAGCGATGGTTGGTGGGAAAAAACAGATGGAAAAAGGGAATACAGTACAGTGAATTATACCGTAACAAAGATCTGTCCAGAACTGAAAGGCCAAGGCCTCCCTTAATGGCCTGAAAGGCCTCCCTCTAGAAGGACTCCCGCAAAAACAGTTGGAAATAACTGAAAGATCGCGGGGCGAGATTTTCAAAAGAGCTCAGTGCTGGACTGCCTAGCAGCTCTGAAAGCAACAAGAATTTCACCCCTATTTTCAGACAGAGTTAAGCCTACAATTAACATTACAGGAAAATCCCACTCATGGCCTTTATCCACTCCCTGCCCAGCAGAACTAGTTGTTGCATTTTTTTCTACATCTTATTTTTATCTCCCTGAAGCAGTACAAAGCCTCTGATCTCTGTTCCAGCTGAGCATCTCCAGTTAAACAGGATAACTTCTGCATGCTAAACTTCATTCACATTCACATTTATATCCTTCTACCAGATTTGGCACCGAATAATACTATCTGGACTGTGAATACCTTCTGTCTTAACTTCTCCCTTGGAGATTTGTATTTGAACAGCATACTGTATTAGTTGAATACTAGAGTTATTAAAAACCTGTAATCCATACTTCTCTAGAAAGAGTGGTCTTAACTACTACCTTTGACACCAATTTAAATGAATCAGATGGTAAGAATATATTGATGTTTTCATGGTTCACAAAACTTAAACTAATAAGGCAATATACAATCTAAATGCTTAGTGAAATGGGCTATAGAAATGGTTTGATCAAACAATAGCAGCAAGAACTTGTCTTATAACATTAAGCACAGTAACTGTGAAAGAGACTAATCCTACTATCCTTGTTCAAGTTCCCATGGAGGTTCTGCTCATCTACAGAATGCTAAATTAGGTCTTCAAAATGCAGCTTGTTTTAAAATTATTTGGTAGTTCTTCTGGTATATTCAGCAGAGTTATACATAACATCAGATACTTTTTATTTATAAAATACATAAATCAGGTGACATGTAATACGGCAAGCAATAATCCAAGTCTTACAGTGGGTAAAGTGAAAATAATACAACAAGGTACTTACACGGAAATGATGTTACAGCGGTACCCAACAGGCAGAATGACAGAGCAGTTTTACTTGGACCAAATAAACAGAAAGAGGCTGGGAAACCTTTCACTCCTGTCAGAACATAAATGTGTCCTGGCAGCAGCTTTCAACTGAACACCTATTCATTTCGACATAACTAATACATGAGGCATGTGTTAGAAACACGCTCCTAGAATGTGTCTGCATGCATCACGGGGGAATGAAGGGAAAAGATACTAAGACAGCAGTAAAATTAGTGAAGTGGCTACCAGTGCTGACTAATCTAAACTGTATCAAATTATTTGTGCAATATACTAAGCTACTGTTCATAATCTTGGTAATAGCTTATCTCTTCTGCCCCTTCTGCCTGCCAGAATGCAATATTTTGACAGCAGGCAGAATGTACAGGTCTCTGTAGCATAGTTAATTAAGTATAGTTGTTTATTCCCTAGGCCTACATAAAGATCTGCTGCTGAGAGGAATTGGAGAAACCAAAACAGTGAAACATTGTATTAATTTAACTTGTTTACTCATAGCTCCTCAATCACTTCCTCCCACTGTTCAATTACCCCAACAATCTCTGCACTGTGCAAGTCTTGAATCAGTGAAGACAGAGAATAAGTTAGGAAACTAGTAAGCAGATGTCTTAAATTGGTGACATAAACAGAATAACAGAATAGTGGTCAGTTCTTCAGGGGACTGCTGCCTTGTTATTGCTTGTGTCACTCTGTACTTACAGCGTACATAAATTGTGCTTCAGAAAACTGTTTAGGTAGGAGTTCATTTTATTTATCTGCCATGCATTCCTAGGCAGTACAAAAGGAGATAAAATTTCTCCCCAGGTTTAACATAGCACACTCTGGGCCTTACGACAGAAGAAAGACTACCTAGATCTTCTTCTTACTGCCACCGTCGTCTAACAAGCCCTAGCAGCACTGAGCCCCCTGTCTGCTATTAATGCTATGATTACACAAATGCATATGCTGGCACAAACACAGGTGGGGAGGGAGGACCAAGTGTCTGAAGGCAGGGCAAGGACAGGACTACTCTTTCAGCTGCATTGTTGCTTATGCCATTTTAAACTGTACTTGCAGTTACAGCTTAAAAAACAAGAGTACGGTATGACACATGGAGATGAGGATTTGACTAAGAGCAATGGCATCGCAGGGCAAATGATGCTGCTCAGATGAGTAAGCTAAGTGAATACTACAGAAATCCTACTAACAGTCTTGTTGTTAGTAAGAAAACTTATTAATTGACATATTACACTGTGAAATAAACCCAAGACAAAAAAAAAAAAGTCATACTAAAGAGACAGTCATATTGTTTGAGATTTCTAAAATTTAACAAGGAAAAGCACTAAGAAATGCCCTGTAATGAACAAACTGCATCTTCAAGGTTATTGACTAAGACATAGGTCTTCAGAGAACTTTAGGTGCCTAGTCACCATCTAATTAAATATGGTTGTGCATAATAGCTTCCTAAATATCTATGACAGTCTGAACCAATCTCCTGCCTAAAGAAGTTTCATCCTTTAAGAAGAATTACTCAAAGTAAAAGAACAGATTAGCCTTTAATATCAACAGGCAATAGAGTAACAGGACCTTAGAGATTCTTCAAGAGATGTATTACAGATAAGCATCCAACAGCATAGGAAAACATGGTAAGAAGAAGGATTAGCTCATGATTCTGAAGATTGTCTAGGCTACTAATTCTGACTGGGGTTCAGGAAGAGAAGCCCATACGGCAAGAAACCGCAGTGGGTTTTTTGACGTTCTTTCTTCCCTTTCCTGGATCCTCCCATCAAAGTCAGTGGGAAAATCTTGACTTGCCAGAGAAATGTGTCAAGATGATGAAGAGATTTCAGAGTCTACTTTGATACCCATGCATACCCTCTTGCCCTTATGCAGGAAAGGACGTTGCTGTCAGCAACACAGCAGTGCTAGTCAGACGCTTAGGAGAATGGCACTTCAGGAAGGCTGCACCACTAGGCTGTTCCTAATTTTATTCATCAACGCACTAATGTAGCTGGATCCAATTCATAAATTCACTAACCCCTATACAACCTATTCCAACTAAGGACTCTTCTATCCTTTTGCTGTACTTACAGATATTGCAGCAAAATCCCAATGAAAACTGGAATCTAATTCCTATTGCCCAGATCATCTGTCTTCATCACTGAGGGACTGGTCTGAACCTCCTGAATGGGTCCAGATGCTCTCTGGATCAAATCCCTCCAGCATGGCCCTCAGCCAGGCCCAGTCCAGCTGCTGTCTGGATCAAATCCCTCCAGCATGGCTCCCTGCCCACTCCAGCTGCTCTCTGGATTAAGTTGTAGCTCCTGGTCAATCCAGCAGCTCTCTCTTTCCTTCCTCATATGCCAAACATGCACCACAAACTCCCATTAGGCCAGCTTACTAAGCATAGCCACTCAGGTGAGAATGACAACATCTCCTCTTGGATTCAGCCAAGAAACCACCTCTCCAAAGTTAAGGTTATAGGAGCTGGAGCGAAATTAAACCTTTTTTGATGAATAATTTACTTGTCACACTTCTGCAGTCACTTAGTCACTAAATATGCAATTTCAGGTTGACGAAAAATAGTTCCAAATTGGTGCCAAAATCCTCAAAGTAGTTATCCAAACTACTGAACTTTCATGCTCACTTGCCTTAGAGAGATTAAAGACTGACCTATACACGCTATGGATTTTCAACCCTCTTCAGTATGTCTTGTTTCCTCTTTCTTTGCTCCAGTCGTGACTGCGCTAATAGCAGATGGGAAGTGACTAGACTCCTGTTTTCTGAAATGCTCTCTGCCAGCATTTCTAGTCAATTTGACTCCACGGTTTAGCACACACTGCTGAGTGGCAAGAGACTGCAGCCCAGAAACGGCAGGAAAAAGGAAGAGTATAAGAAGAGGAAGGGGGCAGGGGGGAACCACAGACATAATACAAAACAAAGTCGAAAGGAGAATGGCATGACAGCCACAAAAAAAAGCAGAACAGAGCACCTACTGCAAAACCACTACACTGTAAGAAGCGGAAAAAGAAGGAAAAAAGCAGAAAGGTAAAAAATGAACACAGCACAGAGAAGCAAGTTAAAAGAAAGTAACAGGAGTTAGAAGAAAGTCTACAAATGCTCCCGTTCTTTCTGTTTCAATCTAATTTTGAAAGATGCTATAAACTTATAACAAATATAAGTCCTAAATTCCAAGGCAGGGAGCACAAGGGTCTCCCACAGAAAAGCATAAGAAACCTACTGTAAGGATACTCTACAATGGTTATTAGTGCTATTGTCACTAGTATTCACCTGGGAAAAGCCTATGTTGTTTCAAGCTCAAATTTCAGGTAGATTGGGTGAAATGTTGTGCTCAGTAAGGCCAATTGCATTGTCACCATTGACTTCAATATGGCCAGTACCTCACAGTTCCAGTTAAAGAAATTCTACTTTTTGTACGGTTTTGATCATGCTATTTATTAACACCTATTAATCATTGGAACTGCAATGTCAAAGGGACCATACAGAGTCAAACAGAATAGCAAAAGTATTCACAAATTATTCCTTACATACTGATATCTCATGTGTGGATAACACCCTCTTCTGCACTACTAGTTCTCCTATGGTGTGAGGAGGCTCAAAAGCATCAAAAGAGTTGTTAATATCAAAGCCTGCACATAAGAAACAATTGTTTCATAGCTAATTTTACCAACAATTTCTATGTTAAACTTCACAGTATAAAATAGGCTGTAAAGCAAAGATCTACAATAATCTAAAAGAGCAAGGCATGGAGTCAAACAAAAGGACTCCCAAGGAATAAGATGCTAACTAATATGTAAAAGGCTTCAAATGTCTGGCCCTAAGCCTATGAATATTGAAGGAGAAATATGTATTTTGAACTAAATACACATTATAAAAATGGTAGTATTGTCCAGCTCCACACCTGCCTTCCTAGAAAGAAGACTAAAAGATACCTGGAACACGTTATTCATAACTTTTTGCAACACATATTAACAAAACGGCTAAACACGATGTTTTGTTGGGCACAAAACTAAGCACAGAGTGACAGCTGTCATTGCAAAGGCCTACCAGCAAATAGTTCTTTACAACTAAAATGAATTTTCATTTTCTCAGTCTAGTAAGCTGTCATTTTGTCTGTGATCAGGATGTCAAAAAAATAAAAAAAAGAGAGTTGAGGCTAAGGCAGATTTTTGCTTTTGTAGACCTTTTTGAACAGAAACAAGGCTAATACTAAGAAGAAAAGATGGGCAGCTGGTACCTGTTCTCAGGCAGAGGAAGAGACGTTAGGGCAGACCTGAGTGCTCGCACCACTTTCGGTGTGACAGCAGCTACTTCTGCATCCTTCTCCCAGCTCCTAGCAAGCGAGACGAGAAAACAAAGTTGTCAGAACCAGTGATTAAACATTACCGCATGTGAGCGGCGCCGGCTCCTTCCCCATGAATCATGCATACCCTGCGAAGCCCCCGGGTGAAAACCGAGCCGGAAAAACAAAACAAAACAAAAAAAAAATCACAACGCCCGGGCTCCGCCGCGGTCCCCCCCGATCTCCACGTCC